CGCTGGGTGCCTGCCAGCCTCGTGGCTCATCGGCGGATGCTCTGGTGTCTAATAATAGGGCTGAGCTACGACGTGTGGTTGAAATTGGATGCAGGAGCTCTTAGGAGTGGGGTTGAGGCAGACTTGTACTGGGTTTCACTTTGTTTTCCTAGAAAACCAGGCTAAAAACCATGCTTAGATCCTCCGCTCTTTAATAGAAGGGAAGGGTGAAGGTTTAGTATGGGGAGGATTAAGGTTTTGGGGTTTTTTTTCCTCCTCCTTTGCTAGAAGATAATAAAGAGCAGTAGCTGGCAGCTGCCTGGCTTTGTTTTTTGGGCGGCTTGAGTTTCGTGCACGACCGGGCCCTTGGCGGAGCGCGTGGCTGAGCTTCGCTTTGGCGGTGTCCTGCAGCACGTTACGGACGTCGTGAAATCGGTGTCAGCCAAACGCAACGCTTTAAACGCTGCCAAGAGTCCTCGTCACCGTGCTGGGTGCGCCCTGCTCAGGCACAGCAAGCGGGGAAGCCCTCCGTGCTGCTCAGAGCTGCGCTCCCGCCAGTCCTGCGGGATGCTGGGGGACCACGGCTAGACTTAAAACCTGGCGTCTCGCCCGCCGTCTGCCAATTCCTCGTTTTCCTGGGCTGGGCTGGTGATGCCCGGAGGAAAGCAAAAATTTCCCCTGGGCCCTGCTCCAACCTTGCCGGTCCCCACGCCTCTGCCTGTTTCCGGATCACCCAGCGAGAAGCGTTTCCGAGGACTGGGGTCTGTTTGCTTGGGGACTGCACGGGACTGCCACAAGCCGGCTCGGTGGCAACCCAGAGCACCCCGAACCCTGCAGCAGGGCTGGGGTGTCTCAGCCAGGTCTGCCCCAAAGGGTGCAGAGGCAGCGTGGGCACGCTGGGGCCAACCAACCGGTTTGAGACTGGGAGCGTCCCAAGCAGCCTTGTGTGGGTCAGGGCTGAGCTCGCCCCATACCTCCGCAAGCCCCCTACTCTCCTGGGATCGAGGAGCCCCCACGTCGGTGCGGGGGGCCCGACTGCTGCCCCGCGCAGCCCCGGCTCCTCTCTCTGCTCACTGGGGTTTGTCTGGGGCTGCCCTGCAGGAGCACCTCTCCGTGAGTCACAACAGCCTCACCACGCTCCACGGCGAGCTCTCTGGCCTACCCTGCCTCCGGGTAAGCGTCCCCCTCCCGCGTCCTGCCTGCATCAGGGCACGGTGTCCGCAGGCACCTTTCAGCCGGCCCCTGGCTCTGGGGGACACGCGAGGATCGTCCCTGGCCACCCCAGGGGGCTCAGCAGGCGTAGAGCTGGCGGGCGGGTGCAGCCACGGCTCTCTCTCCC